TGATTGCCTATTTTATGGGGAACCAACACCATCTTTTGATTTAGAAAGATGTTTTTTGATGTCATTCATTGTGTAGGAAGTGGAAGCTTGCGACTGAACGCGCATTTGAATTAACTGAGAAACTACCCTGCCCCAGGTTATGATTAAATGTTCCAATTTGTGCAAAAAAGAAAACTCCTACTTCTTTGGCTCAACGGGAGTTGACTAGGAATTATAACTCCACTGTTTAGGAATTGAAAGAACGCTTGTACATCGTCAACAAGGTCTGTCCAAAAGCATAATGTATAGATTATGGTATTGTTTTCCTAATCCTCCCTTTAAAGGTTTACAACTTGTAGTTGAGAGTTGAATATCACAAAAAGGGAATAAAAAAATAACAGTTTAAATATAGTGAAAAAGAATGGATTAATTCAAGACAAACATATATAAGGCATTAATGAAACAAAGTTTGACATAATAGATAAGTGTTCGAACAAACAAAAGAAATTACAATTGTAAATTCAAAAATGAACTGGACGCTCTCAATGATTTCGCATTGGAGCAGCGGTCATGTTGGGAGTCTTCGGAGGGCCGAATTCAATCTCCTTGGCGTAAATCATATCTTGAATTTTATTCTTCAGAGCCCAGCAGCCATTCGTATCATGTCCAGGACTATCAGAATGGTATGCACACCTTTCATTAGGATGGTAACTAGGAGCAGAAATATTGGGATTCTGCAAAGGAGTCTTTAACGTAATTAGCTCTGCCTTCAACATTTGTTGTAATGCTTGAGCTAGTGATATGTTAATTTTGGTGAATTGTCTCTTTGGTGCGATCTCCTTACGTTGATTCCTCTATTGATGTTGTTGCACATGCATGGGATTATAGATTAGTACAACTCCCACATATTGGTTATGGTTACCTCTAGCATGTCCCTCTTGGCCATATACAGCATTAGACTCTTTCCTTTTTATTATACATCTTCTTTTCAATACTGGAAGAAGCAGCCACCTGGATTTTTCTACTTCTGATTCCGCCTTCAACTCGTTCCCCAGTTAGAATCAGCTCGGTGAACCTGACTGAAGAGCTTCCGATTAGATGATTGAAGAAAGCTCCTATTAAAGTTCCCATAAAGATATCAATCAGCTCCCTGTCAGTTAAGGGTGGCTGCACCCTTCCATCCAGGTCTCTCCACTTTTGGGCGTACTCTTTAAAGCCTTCATTTGAACCCATGGTCATATTTTGCAACTGCACACGAGTTGGTGCAAGATTAACATTGTATTGGTACTTTTTGTGGAAATCAACAGCTAGATCTTCCCAGGTAGGGATATTAGTCCTCTCAAGTTGATAGAACCACTCCAACTGCGTTTCAGATAAGCTTTCTTGGAAAAAGTGAACCCATAACTTCTAATCAGTGGTGTGTGGCTGAATCTTGCGAACATAAGATCTCATATGCATCGTAGGACAAGATAACTTGTAATACTTGGAAAATATAGGGATCTTGAATTTGTGGGGAATGACTACCCCAGGGACCAACCCTAAATCTCCAAAGTCTAGACCAAGTACTGCTTTGATTTCCATAACCTTAAGTTGGTCTTCAAGCTGTTTGTATTTTTCATCTGTCGATGGATACTGCTCCTCAGAATAGTCTTCATCCTCGGTAGCTTGGTTATCCCTAGCATATTCTTTTTGCGTGTTTGATACCGACCACGGATATGTATTTTTGATACTTGTTTCATATGTCTGCTACCAATCCCAGACATGTGTTCTTGATATCTTTGTAAGAGCTTGCTTCAGTCTGTCTCTTTCTTACGTATCCGATACCGACCACGGATATGTATTTTCGATACTTGTTTCATATGTATGCTACCAACCCCAGACATGTGTTCTTGATATCTTTGTAAGAGCTTGCTTCAGTCTGTCTCTTTCTTACATATCCGATACCGACCACGGATATGTATTTTCGATACTTGTTTCATAGTCTACTACCAATTCTAAACATGTGTTCTTGATATCTTTGTAAGAGCTTTCTTCAGTCTGTCTCTTTCTTGCGTGTCCGATACCGACCACGAATATGTATTTTCGATACTTATTTCATATGTCTGCTACCAATCCCAGACATATGTTCTTGATATCTTTATAAGAGCTTTTTCCGGTCTGTCTCTTTCTTGCGTATCTGATACCGACCACGGATATGTGTTTTTTGATATTTATTTCATATGTCTGCTACCAACCCCAGACATGTGTTCTTGATATATTTGTAAGAGCTTGCTTCGGTCTGTCTCTTTCTTACATATCTGATACCGACCACGGATATGTATTTTCGATACTTATTTCATATGTCTGCTACCAACCCCAGACATGTGTTCTTGATATCTTTGTAAGAGCTTGCTTCGGTCTGTCTCTTTCTTACGTATTTGATACCGACCATGGATATGTATTTTCGATACTTGTTTCATATGTCTGCTACCAATCCCAGACATGTGTTCTTGATATCTTTGTAAGAGCTTTCTTTGGTCTGTCTCTTGCTTGCGTGTCTGATACCGACCACGGATATGTATTTTCGATACTTGTTTCATATGTCTGCTATCAACCCCAGACATGTGTCTGTGACATCCTTGTAAGAAGCTTTCTTTGGTTTGTCTCTTTCATATCTGCTATCGACCCTGGATATGTATCTCTAATACCCTTTTTCGTATGTCTGCTACAGACTTCAGGCATATACCTTTTGACATCTTTCTTACGGTATTTGTTATTAAATCCCAACAAGTGTTCCTCGATAACCAAGTTATTCTTCTGTGTGTCAAACTCTGGTTAAGCATACATCTAATCCTGATAACCCCTTTAACCTAGAAAGAAAAAAATATAAATAGAAAATACAGAAAACCAAAAATATAATGTATTCCTGACTGGCTTCGGAGTGCAAATTTTCAGGTTCTTTTAGTATTTAATCTTCTTCCACCCTGAAAGTTCGAAAGGATAACGCCAATCTCACCTTCAGGTTGAAGGCGATTAAATAGGGGAAGCTATTGCACCCCAAAACTTGCCCTCCTAAATCACTTTTATTATGGCTTAGACTTTACATTCATCTGCATCATTCCAATAGGTCATGTGTATAGCACGCATTTTCATAAAAAATGGATCACATGAGGTTCAAAAGATCAGCAGTTAGGGAGCCAGGGTTCACAACTGATTTGAGGTGTATGTGTTGAATAAGTTTGATTATCCAGGGTCTTCCTGGTGTATAAGACTGTGGAACTAGGGTTTTTGAGCATGCTCATTTTTGGACTTCTTCTCCACCAAGTTACAGGGCTAATATCTTCTGATGAACAACTGGTTATAGGTCATTCTGGTCAAGAACTCCAGGGCGTGACCTAGCATATATGGGCTTCGAATCACGGCTTCTCTTCATATAAGTATGCTTATCATTTGATCAAGATTAATGACTATGACATGGCATTCATCCGCTCTTCAGTTAGTCAATTTAGGTTTTGTTGAATCATGGTTCAGAGATGTTTCATCCGAATATTTCTCTGTGCATCTGAACTGAGGAATCAAGATTGTGAGGTATGGTTAACAGGATATCTTTCTCTTCACGATATAATTGTTTTTATCCAGTCTCGGCAAGTGCGGGGATTTTCTTTTTTTGCGACTAGGATTTCGTGTCAAAGGAATTCTTCAATGATCTAAACCCTATCATCTATCTGTAAAAATGTTCCTCATGACGTTAATTTCAAGTTGAGATAACCGGTCTCTAAGGGCGGAGGATCAAATTGTGAAGTATAATTCACGGCCTAGGATATGAATTTGGGGACTCCTTATTAATCAAGGCAATTATTTTTCTTATCATTGTCATTTGTTGTCTGCAATACAAGTGGATTTGGATAGAAGTATACCTCTTATTGAAGGATCCATGCAAGGAGATTCAAGGCTCATTCATAATTTAATTCAGGAGTTTCATGCAAATATGCAACAGAAGTTTAATTCATTTATCTTGAATCATGGTTCATTTTATATAAATCAAGGAAAACTTGGAATTTAAATGCTAAGAGGAAGAAAAAGCCCATTCAAAATCCATTTAAATGGTTACTTTGGTTATAGTTTGTTAAATTGGATCAACTTTCCTTGAAGAGTGAGTGTGTGGATTATTTGAAGTTCGAATGATAGATAAGGGTCATTCATCATCCAATGTTCATTATTTAAAAATCATCTTGATTCGAACATCATGGAATTCATCATCCGAGTATTGATTCGAGTCCATTCAAATAATCAAGCATCATTTAAGGTTCTAATTAAAGTTCTCCAAATCCCACTCAAAAGACATATGAATCTATTCAAGTGCATTTCATTCACTCGGGTTCAAATACATTTCAAATATACCATTCATAAACCATATTTCCATTATGATATTGGTCTAGATACATCATTATTACTTTAACCAACTCATACAAAATACATTTGAACCAAAGTTCCTGAATTCTGAACCTTAGATGCTATCTTCATCTTCCAACTATTCTTCATGCTTCTTTGCCAGTTCCTTTGGTAACCTTCAATCCAATCAACATAATTCATGTATCATGTGTCCATTTCGAGCCTCCACCATGCTAGCTTTTACCAAAACATCTCCAAATCAGTTCACGACTCGTCGAGACAGTCCTAAAATATGACAAAAAAGTCTATACATGCTTCGCCATCACTTTAATCCTGCTTTGCACTTCATGCACCCACATGGCTGACCCTGTATAAAAAAAAAGAAAGGAGGAATTAATTAAATCCGCATTCAAGGTCATTACATTATCGTACTACTGCATTCACTAACAGAAAGATCGAAAAAACAATGGAAAACAGCATCCAGAGCTAGCATTTATGGCATTTAAGGGATTTTGCAAATTGGCTGTGGATATGAGACCAGTTTTGCTGCCATATGTGAAATTCACGGTAAAGAGTAATGAAATTGACCTTGTTGATGTGGAGGAGGAGTTGTCGTTAACTGAAAAAACAATCACCAGTGCATATGATATATGTATGATTCTAGACCCGTCGAGAAGTGTTCCTTATTAGAAGGATGGCCTATTTCGAAGGTCGTTGTTCTTTTAGTTGAAAGTAAGAAGGAGGTCTGCTTCTTACTTTTTAGTTCTATCACTGATGGGGTATGGTCTGTGGTTGAAAAAGACGTGGATTCTTCCTCTTCCGGTCAAAGTTCTACAATTACAAATAAAATCAAACATGCATACAAAAAGAGAAGAGTCATTAAAAAGCCTACAAAACATGCGTTAAATGTTAATGAAGATGGATTTTTGAAAATTGGATATTCTTCAGTAAAGGAAGTAACAGGTGTCAATAGTATTGGTATTATGCTTTTGGGAAGTTATACTGTGTATTCCCAGAGTAAAGAGAAGATAGCTTCACGATTTTATAAAAAGAAGTGCTCGCAGTTGACTGGTGAGGGGTTTATTCAAGTTCCTATGAAAGATTTAATTCAAAGCTTCCGGGGTCCTTTAGTCAAAAGGAGTTCTAGCAGTTGGACGGTCACCCTAGTTGTTCAGTATTTCTACGTGCTTCCTTATTCTGAAATAATCTCAGAATGGTTTTCTAGAGAAACATTCTCAAATAGTTTGCAAGATTCAAAGCTAGTAGACAAACAATTTCCGAAGCTTGAAGTGACAAAATCAAGTGTAAGTAGTGAGGGCATGTCTTTTGGTCTTGATAACAAGCCATGCAGTGATATTATTGAAGCTCTTAATCAGAAAGAAACCAATGGTTTCTGCTCAAATACACCGTGTGGTACTGTCAAGAAAGAGTAGGATATGGACATGAGCAACTCTTTAGTTTTTCAATCTAAAATTAAAGAAGAATGCCAGTAGCATGTTGCAAAAACTTTACAAGTTAGTGAAGATAAAAAAAATCAAAAATCCATCAAAGCAACATCATTCAAATGGATGTAACGACCCTAGCAAGTTTGAGAAGGTTGTTTCAACAAGGATGCATATTACTTCGAGTAGAATCAAAGATAATATTTCTGAGTCCATAGAAAAATGTACCCTGATTGCAGATAATTCCAACACAGATCTTGAGAAGGTCCAAATTCTCACAGATTCGAAGGGGGAAATGGTTGTAACAGATGTGTGTCCTATAGTGGATGCAGTTAGGGCATTCCTTGAACAATTGGTTGATCCGATGCTGCAGGCAAAAACCTTCTATTCAAGATGATCATCCTCTATCTCAATAACAAAAAATTGCAAAACAGGTTCATTATGTTGTGTTACTGTACAATTATTACCATAGAAAACAGGATTGTAACAGAAACTTCCAACTACTTTCTATAACTTCCCCAAATCCTAACTGTCAAACCAAAGTTTTTCAAACTGACTTATAACAAAATTCCTAGTCTATTAACCATTCCAAACAGCATTGCTAACACAAAAATAACAGAAAAGAAAGAGGCTGTAACAGAAACTAACAGGACAACTGTGATACGATGGGAGAACTGACTTGAGGTTTTGCGTTTGTGTTCGCAATAGTGCGGTTTAGCAAGAGTTGCCACCGACTTTTTATTTTATCCAAAGGAAATGTCAAAAAGTACAGGAAAGACCTTTGAGATGTTTTCTTGGGTTCGGGGGGTAGATTATGAAAAGGGAAGGTGCAATCACCCTTTTCATCCATGGTTATCCATGGGCTCTTAGTTACTTGTTTAGATCACTTGCCTTTGCTTTTCAATTGTTTGAAATGGTGCTTTGTGTGTGTGGTTTTGAAAATACTTTGAAAAAGAGACCTTGTATAGGCAACCTTTGTAATGATTCTTGTTTGAATATATACAAAGGTGTGTGTCTTTTTGAAAAGATATTTCAATGTTTTGAAAGTTTGTTTTGAAATTGTGTGGTGAGGTGTGTTTGAAAGTAGCAAGGATGTTTTGCAAGTTTTTGATCAAGTAACTAAGAGTCGTCTACCCTATTTTACTTAAAGATCTTTCTTATGTTTTTAACCCTTTTGACAGTGTTATTTCACCATTGCATTTGGTGAACAACCTTGTGTTAGGATGTTTAAACAGGATAGGCGTGGGTCATCGCATACAATCATTGAAAGCAACTTGTGAAACTCTCTAGCAATTTTGTAAGGGGCGAGATCGTTTTATCGAAGGCAACATCGAGGGTCATTGAGGGACTACGATCTTTGTTTATCAAAGGGGCATTTGCTATAGTGTCTCATACTCGAGGTACATGATCGCATTTTCCGAAGCAACAAGCGAGGTTACCCTAGAGGTGCAAGTGTGAATTGTGCATTGATTTTCATGCATTTGTCTTGTATTAGGTCATCTAGCGATTGATTTTAGATCTTCGCATACAAACCCTAATTACTATACAGTATATTGAAAGCAATAAATTGCGGGAATTAAAAGTCTAAGTTATTACAAAAGAGTATTCAGGGATGGGGGTACAATTATTTACAAATGGGGATGAGTCTCATAAGAATAATAATGTCCAAATATGTGTTACAACCAAATCGAACTGTCGCAATTCAATGAAAAAATATAACAAATTATAAAATAAGGAAAATCAAAGAATTATGAGATGCATGTATTTATTTACAAATAAAAAATTTATTCTAAAAGAAAGAAAGATTAAAAATTATATTATTATTTGCATCGGTTTCATTAATTATGTAAATAAAAAGGTTTAAAAATAAGAAAAATTAGTCAAATTAATGTTTCTATTATATTTTTTATTAATCAATAAAAAGGGTTAAAGAAAACCAAAATTAATTAAATCAAACTAAATATCCCCTTTTTTTTGGTATTTTAATTATGTTAAACAAGATTAATAAAGAAATAATAAAATTAACTTAAAAGAAAGTAAAACAAAGTTTAATTAGTATTTTTATTAACTAAAAGAAAGAAAATAAATTAATTAAGATTAAATAGTAAAAAAAAATGTTTGCTAATTTAATGAAAAGAAAATAAGGAGAATGAGCCAAAATGGGAGTTGGGCCCCAGATAAAGAAAGAAGGCAGAAAGGACAAAATAGGGGGGGTTTCGTTGGTAAAACGAAATGGGCTTGAGGCAAATGCGTTTGGGGCGAAGGCCCACTGTCCAATTTTCACAATTTTGTTAGGGTTTGAAAGGATTAGGGTTAGTTTCGTTTGGCTTCAACAGCGGCGCCTCTCTTGCGTTCTTCTTCCTTTTCATCCTTCTCAGGCCATAAGCGTTGATTCTCTCTTCAAACCTAGCTACCGGAGCGCCGCCCCTTCCCATTCTCTCATCCTCTCACAGTGGTCCAAGCTTGGTTCGAATGGTATGGTTCGTTTTCTGTCTTTTAGGTTTTTTACAGTTTTGTGGTATTTATGTTTGCATGTTTTAATCCATGACTTTTATGCTTGAGATGCAGTAAAGGGGGTTGAGAAAAATCATACCTTGAGTTTTTGTTTCTGGAAAAGAGAGATGGAGGGCGAGCTGGTGGCGCTCCTTGGAGGCTAAGGGCGGAGGAAGATGATGGCTAGCTTCTGGTATCTTTGTCTTCTTCCTTGATTTGTTGGTTATTGATGTTGATGATGATGAACTTCTGAAACACTATGTTGATTTTTTTTGTTGACGATGAAAAATTTTGAAACTCTATTTGCTTCTGAATCTCTTCCTTTCTCTTTGCTGAATATTGATGATGAGTATAACTCTGAGATTTATTGATTTTTGATGTTCTTTCGTTGATGATGATGATGCTCTGAGACTTGAACGTTTATTGTTGTTCTTGATTCTAAAAACTGTGTTATTATTTATATTTGTTGGATAATGATTCTGAAACTGTTTTCTTTGCTTCTGAATACTCTTCCTCTTCTCTTGGTATGTTAATGATGATATACCTCTGAAACTTATTTCGAAACTTTTGTTGGTTTGAACTGAGTTTGATGATTTGTGGTTTTTTTTTTGTTAATGATGAAAATGTGTTCTGAAACTTTGCTTGTTTGATTTCTGAAAACCCTCTCTTTCTTTCTTCCTTGGATGTTGATGATGAAAGAATTCTGAAACTAATTGTTGGTTTGTTCTGCAAGCTTGCTTTCGTTGTTTGGACTTGTTGGCCTGTTTGTTATCGTTTGGTGACAGTCTTTGCAAGTTTTGTGTTAGGCTTGCAGTTTGGCTACTTGTTGAGCTTGAAACTGTTTTGGTTCTTGCTACAACTTGTTAGCAGGTTTGAGCAAGCTGGTTGTTTGGCAGACTTTTGAGTTTTTTGCATAGGTCTGTTTTGTTTGTTTTGACAGGTTTGGTGCTTGGCTTGGCAGGTGTTGAGCTTGTTTAGGCTTATGGTTTGAGCAGTTTGGTCATTTTGATGACAAGTTGTCTTGTTTTTGGATATTGGGTTTGGATACTGTCACAGGTTTTAGTTTGATGGTTTTGTTGTGTTTTGAGCAAGCTGGGTTTGTTTTGTTTGACTTGCAGTTTGGTTTAACAGTTTTGGTTTTACAGGTTTGGGCAAGCTTGGCTGTGGTTTCACAGTTTGGTTTGACTTGCAGTTTTGTTTAACAGTTTGGTTTTACAGGTTTGGGCAAGCTTGGATGTGGTTTCACAGTTTGGTTTGACAGGTTTTGGGTAAGCTTGGCAATTTGTGTTGAGCTTTGCAAGCAGGTTTGGCTAGCAGGTTTCGCTAAGTATTTTTTTTCTTCTGTGTCTGAGGCTAGACTGTTATATATCTTTTGTTTTTTTGTTAACTTGAGACAGCCTGCTTTAGCCAAACTGCAAAACTTTTCACTAAAGGTCCTCTCTTTCTCTCTCTCTCCAATAAGCACTTTTGCTTTGTTTATTATATTTTTTCTGAAAAGTTTGTCTAGGCTGGAAAATGATGATGGCTATTACAAGCCTCTTTGGCTTGTAATTTGGTTTTCCTCTGCATTGTATTACCTGCTGCATTGTGTACTTTCCTGATTGCATATTTTCTGCATTGTGTACTTTTGCCTTGACAATTTTGAATTTTGGCACCTTGGTTTGCCTTGCAACTTACCTATGTTTGACAGTTTTGCATTTAGTTTGGTTACTGCATTTGGGTATTCTGTTTTGTTGTGCTTAGACAGTTTGAAATTTGGCGCCTTGGTTTGCCTGGTATATTCACTTTGTAATTCAGTATGCTTGCATTTTTTTTAATTTTCTCTTTGTGAACCAAGAAGAGAAATCTTCTTGTGATTTGCAAAGAGAAAAGTAAAAACATGATGAACAAATAGCATTCTGATTCTGGCCGGCAAACTTTAATGATGATTTTCTTTTCTTTCTTTTCATTTGAAAATTCTTGTACTAATTTTCTTTTCCTTTCTTCTTTTTCAGGTGAATGCAAACTTGGACGATAGAGGAAATAGAGGAAGCAAAAGACCTCGGGCGCGGGAGCAATTTAGGATTTAGATTTAGATTTATTTTCCAATTATTGTAAACAATTATTATTGTAAATACTATAAGTTATAAACTTACAATATTCAAATGATTTTGTAACAATATTTGAAATCAATAAAAAATCTTTATCCAAAAGAATCTTTCTATTGTCACATATCTTGCCATTTTTCTTGCACCTTTACTTAATCATTTAAGTTTATCTCAATTAAAAATAATTGAAATTGCATCCCAACAATTCTAATCCAGATCACTTAAATCTCAAATAATCCAAAACTTTGCAGTTTCGTAACTTTGCAACAACATTCCGATTAACATACACATTGTATAGTTAAACAAACAAGCATTCCATTAACCGGCAAACCTTTCACTCCACTAACAAGCAGATGCCTTAATGTTCCAAACAAAAGTCTCAGCTCTTATCCCATACAATCAGGCTTTGAG